CCCCCCCCCCCCCCCCCCACGGGGTTTACATTGATAGGTGCATAAGGTATTCTTATTTGGTTTTTTCGCGGCGGGGATAATCCGAGAGATATCCAAAGACGTGCAATAGCTTGGGCTAGACCTAAAAGCTCGTTTCGAAATTTTAAGTTTATGTTTGTTTTGATGAAAGTCAAATGGCATATGCGCGACTTTAAGCATTTTAAAAGCGTGATTTAAAATTAACGCCTTAAGTTAATGATCGAAGCTTCTTTTCGGAAAAAATTTAGACTTGACAGCTGTGGCTTTATAGATTTTTCGGTGATATTCTCGGTTTGCACTGTCACGCAATGAAAAATAAAAATGCAAACCATTTAATACAGAAGGACCAGAATCTGGGAAATGAAAAAAGATAAATATACAAAAAGCCTTGCCAAAAATCAGGTCTGTGAAATATTCAAATGCGAGATATTCGGAAAAACGGTTTATCTAAATTTATAAAGCAATTTATGGAAACGCCATGTTGGTGCCCCTTTCAGGGACACCAATATGGCCGCCGGATACAAACAGAAAAATCTGTTTCCGAGTTTTCCTACTAATGCGCGAATTCTTCGCTTGAGGAAGTCATAAGATGAAAGTAATATTTATTCTGAGACAAGGAATGTTTAGATAGGAAAATCTCCCAAAATCGGTAATGTTTTTAACCCACTAGACTACGAGTAGTCCCCCATTTTTCCTCAGGGATAGTAGCAGCAAACGCGAGCGCGCGTGAAAATCACCCCACGCGAGAAAGGGCTTTTTCTCTCTCCCCGCCGCATGTCGCCTTTTCTCGCGTGGGGTGATTTTCACGCGCGCTCGCGTTTCGCTCGCTCTACCATCCCTGAGGAAAAATGGGGGACTACTCGTAGTCTATTAACCTACAAAAGAGCTTTCCCGGCCGTCAGCTAAATGCCGCGTCACGCAATAGCCTGGAAATTCAAGCCTCCTCTCTCGTAAAACGAAGAACCCTTTCGAATCAAAAATTTGTTTATATAAAGGTGTTTAGGTACTGTAATATCTCGTGAAAGTAGAAACTCAGAAGAATCGATAGTTTCTTAGTTTGATTTTTGGTGACGTCACGTGCAAACCAAGAATTGGCGTTATTTTAGTGTTATTTTTCGCCCAACTTGTTTTCTCCGTAAATCTTTATTTTTTCGGATTTTCGACGGCGCTATGAGGTTCTAACTTTTAAACATTTGCTCGGAAGACAGAGATGAAATGCCAAATAATTGTGAGAGGCTTATGGTATTCTTAAGGTTTTTACTTAAAACAGTAGAAAAACTAAACGGAGCAAATTGTAATGGAGAGAAGACTCCCATAAATTCAAGGAGTTTCCAATAGCTACTCGTAAACAACGGTGTTGAAACGTCATATTCGCCGGGATTAATACTATCTACAAATCTTTGGGCGACTAGAGTCTACCACGTCGAGTTTCCGCAGGCATTTTTTAAAGAACTAGAGGTGAAGACTGTTCAGTTCCTCAGCAGAATATTTTATTTTCAGTGGACGTTTTTGTTTTACAAATTGGCGTCTTGACACCATCTCAATTATTACACTGCGTTCTTTCAGGTCTGTTTTCATCTTTTTTGTTGTATTTTGAAATTTTAATATTTCTATGTTTTGATTATTTGAGCAATGTCGATATTTTATTGTTATTATGTCGACTTTTCTGTAGAAGTTCGGTTTTACTTGAGGTTACAACTTGGCTCCTATTTTTTCCATCGGAGAACAATGCATTTTCTGGCGTGTGCGAGGTTTGTACAAAACCGGTCTTCTGGGGTAGAAATAGCGTAAGATATTTGTACTCGTTTTGAGTTTTATTTTTACTGTACTGAGCGATATCTTGGAACCAGGCAGAACTCTCAAACCTTGGCGCTAGCCAAAAGGATCCCAGCTCTGCGCATGCCCGACTTTTTTACCAAATGAGAAGCCAGCGTGGTGCTGTTCTTTTTGGTTAGATGGTGGCCGGAAAGCAGTTCAAATAGCGTCAACGGCGTCTTTTGGCAAAGTCTCCCGGGACGAATGGGTTTTTAAGCCTGAGCAATCTTATGGTGACCCATTATACATGTGTTGAAATTTCCTGATACCAACTTACCTCAAACTAACGTTATTGCAAGCTAGCCACGCAGGGTGCGCATTATATGATCAACCTTGTAGTGCATTACGTGGTTCTAAATAACGCCAATTGAGTTGTTCCCTGTTGGTTCTATCATTATTTCTGATCGTTATTGTACGCACTTTCCATTCCCTTCTTGACAAGCCCAATATCACCATGTTGTTGTTCTTATGCCCCACATTCTGTCCTTTTCTATCGCTAGGTCTTTATGCTTGGATTATTTGTCTATTTTTTTTTTTTCAAAGAGGTGTTCCCTTCCGTGGGTACAGACATGCCGATTAGCAGAGAGATTCTCTCCTTCTTCTTGTCCGGCATCCACCACCATATCCTGTCAGTCCCCCTTTAAGCTATTCGTTTTGATTGGCATGTCCCAGACTCGTTTTTCTTGTTGTTGTTGTTTTTATTATTATTGTTATTAATCTTATTATTATTTATTTATTTTTTTTTTTAAGTTTCCAAGTACCGGTAGCAGTTCTCTTATTTGTTTGTTTTATTGTTATTTGTTATAGAGGGTGGCACAATTCAAACCCTTTTGGAAGATATCGAGCGTTTGGAAAGCCTATCAGTCTTGTTGGATAAAGAATCACCAGTACTGAAAAACTGGAGGCATTTTGCTCGGAAGTTTGGTGTTTCCCTGGACGAATGTAACAATTTAAAGCCAGAAGCTTTAAGTCCAACCAAAACATTAATGGAACACATTGTTCAAGTTGAGCCAAAGCTTACTGTCAAGACTTTAATCGAAGCCCTGAAAAAGATAGGACGCCGGGATGTTGTACTTGCCTTAACTAAGTTCTTCTTAGGTAATGTATAATTGATTAACCAAAAGTAATAGTTTTAGCTAGTGGAGGTTTGTTTCCTTTAATAGTTCAAAACAATTAATATTTTCTTCCGTTAATACTCGTTTCCATTGTTTTTATTTATTTATTTATCTTTTATACTTTGAATTACTGTGATGCAGTTCCCGTGCCATCACGTTTAATATTTATTTTATGAAGAAAGGGTCATTAATATTGTTGCGTCCGACGGGTATACAACAGCAAGACTGTGATATCCTTAGTTTAAATTTTACTTTCTTTTGTTTATGGGTATGGTAATGTATGATAATGAGTATGAGTGAATCGTAACATATACACCAGGAGAATATTGCTTCTGTTGGTCCCTACTAGCTGGCTAAAGATTGTAAAAACACTACCTCGTTTTTTCCCTTTACTCTTTCTCTTACCTTCATACACTTCCTACCGGTTTTTCCTCGTTTTTGTGAGTTACTTCTCTGTTTTGAATGTTTATTATTGGTTTTTGCCTTCAAAGGTCGTTCAAGGACCAAGCAAGATGCCAACGAAAAAAGCATTAGTGCTGACGAAGAAGTGCTAAAGTGTCCATGACTCGAGGATCGTGCTTGAGGTGGAGTCGTTATATATACAGTCTTACTAACTCCTGAAGGTCTTTTTGACTAAGTTTTGAATACTTTTGTACATTTCGTGAGGACAGAGATTCCAGTTTACGAAACCATTATACCCTTTCGTGTGGTAATGATAGTAATAGGCGATAATGATGATAGTTTTTTAGTGACGATAATTATGATTTTATGAACGAAATCATGTGTTTAATAGGCCTGTATCCCAGCGTTTACAAGTTAAATAATTTGTTTCGTACCAGTTTTAATGATTATCCATAGCTGAAAACGCATTTGATACAAGCTCCAAATACCTAAAACAAGCAACAAAAATTTACGCTGAATGATAAACTAAACGAACTCGAAATGAGATGTACCAAAGCGAAAATCTATAATTACTTTCTATGAGGCCTACAATTAACAAACAGCGTGAAGAAAAGTAAAATAAACTTAATCCTGGTCTGTATTCAATATCCGCGACTACAATGCAGCATCCTAAGCGTCCAAATCGAAGACATGATTTACTTCTCAGCTCATTTGCATCATCTGCGCTCGGATCGCTGGCCTAAAGGTTTGGCAAAACTGACAGCTAATAGTCAAGAAATTTGTGAAAAGTTAATNAATTATGATTTTATGAACGAAATCATGTGTTTAATAGGCCTGTATCCCAGCGTTTACAAGTTAAATAATTTGTTTCGTACCAGTTTTAATGATTATCCATAGCTGAAAACGCATTTGATACAAGCTCCAAATACCTAAAACAAGCAACAAAAATTTACGCTGAATGATAAACTAAACGAACTCGAAATGAGATGTACCAAAGCGAAAATCTATAATTACTTTCTATGAGGCCTACAATTAACAAACAGCGTGAAGAAAAGTAAAATAAACTTAATCCTGGTCTGTATTCAATATCCGCGACTACAATGCAGCATCCTAAGCGTCCAAATCGAAGACATGATTTACTTCTCAGCTCATTTGCATCATCTGCGCTCGGATCGCTGGCCTAAAGGTTTGGCAAAACTGACAGCTAATAGTCAAGAAATTTGTGAAAAGTTAATAAAAAAGTGCTCAGTGGGATGTAAAAAGTAGTTAGATCAGAGGGCCCAGGCATTTTTGGTGGAATATTACGTGCACGCTATTTATGTCACATTTCTCCGATGCATTCAGTTGAAGTTAACTGATACCGTAGTGGGACTGCCCTTGCAGTATTCACCCCATATTTTGTAACAGCAGTTGAACTATCATTTCCAACCTGAAAAACTGGTTCCGCAGGACATACCTAATTTCCTTTGCCTTCCTCATGGTTTTTTCTCTTCGGTGAAGTTCGATCGTAAAGCCCGAGCGATGCACCTCGTGTTCTCTGTTTTCCCACCGAAGGTTCCGCATCCAGGGTTGCGGGTTGATTTTCGTACCTCTTGTAATATGTTACTGCTGGCGCTTTGAAGTACAGCAAACTGAAGCATCATCACTCACCCTTCATAGAACTCAACACTGCGTGAGCTAAAAGTCGAGAGGTGTGCATGATCACAGTGTCCCTTTCCGGCTTTATAACATCGCCTAAATATAATATTCGATCCTGAATCGCTAAATTCCAAGATCATTTTCGTTTTGTGAGGCTTCTTCCACTTGGACATAGACCAATAGCTTTTCCCTTTCAAGAAAGAAAAATGTTCAGCTTCTTAAAATGTGGCGTAAACATTGTGTAGGTAATCATCCACGAAGACTGTCTGGTGCTAGTACTGACCGGAAAAATTTGGTTCGGTTCTACGTTCTAGTACATGTTTGGAAAGACATCAGATATTTCGTGCTAAAAAACGCATAGCGAATGCGAAATTAAAGGTTAAGATCCTTCACTAAGGTTGCTTGCGAAAATACTAATACTCGTAGAAATGGTGATGGTGATGATGATGGTCATGACGACGATGATGATGATTGTGATTTGTGATCAACCCAATAAAAGACTAACTGTTCACTTGGAACAGCTGGCCATCAGCAAGTTAAAATTACTTTGCTTTAAAAATCCCTTCAAAACTGTGAAAAAAAAACTGTATTTTTAAAATATAGGAAGAAAAAAAAACTAACGGCCAAAAAAATTCACTTCTTGTCAGAGGCAGACTGCGCCCTGAAGAAGAACGATATTCAGCTCTTACAAAGCCTCACAATAGAACAAAACAATAGAACTGCGTACCATCGAAGATCCAATGAAATTAGAGGTTTTAAGATGGCTGCCTACTATTCGAATGATATAGTGCCTTAAAAAACGCGGCCCAACAGATAAGGACAATTAGTAATCATTGAGATCTGCAGATTTTCTTAATATAATGCGAAAGCCCGGAAGTCAATAACTCTTTTATTATTCATTTAAAATATTTCTAAGCTCTTAACAAGCTTACCTCCTCGTAAACTTTCTTCAAAACGTTGGCCTATTTCTCGGCTTGGTTTCAGGGTATAAAGACAGGTTTTATTCTTTGCAGATACTCCTTAAAAATAGATAACATCCATCGAGCAATATCTTTTTCCGTATTCTCACATTTCCTTCGTTCCGTTTTAGTCAGAAATTCGGCTAGTTCGTCTTCAGTTAGCCGTGGACTCTTTTGTTATTTCCTTGAGATCATTTATGTCAAAACAGCCAGGCAGCCGCAATGGTCTTTGAAAAAGAGGTTGCGATTATATATTGAGGCAACGCACTATTGTATCGATGGTATAATCCTCGCATCTTCCCAATTTCCTCATCGCCAGCTGGTAATAAGAAATAGGCGGGGAATTAAAGCCAATACCAAACGGCGACATACACTTATTTTGAATGAATAGTAAAAGTACTTAGTATCAATATGCTGTGTGTATGGAGGAGCTGACAAAATAATGCGCATTTTCCTGTTTTTAAGGCGTTCTAAGCGCTTTCAACTTCCCCAGTCTCTCCAAATCCTACATGCATAATCAGATATTGACCAAGAATTTTTTTGTATCTTCTTAGAAGAACAATTTTACGTAGATAAGCTGAAACCCCATTAAGTGTAACTCAAGTATTTGATACTAGATTTTAGAAATTGTGTAAGAAATTTTCCTTATTTTAAATAAGACGATTATCCATATTTACTCCCATACATCACAGCGTTACATGACGATACGAGGACTTTGTGCCATCATTGTCAAATGGTAAGAAAATTAACAAAGGTTGCGGGTGTACAAACTGAAAAAGGTGTAACAAAGTACATGTAAATTAAATGCAAGCGTGAAAACGGGAAAATTGCCAGGCGCTCTTCTATTTTCCCAGTCTTCCGCCTATCTTTCTTTGATCTCCCCTACCGCCGGTTTTCTACGCCAGTCACGGACGGAGTCTGCTTGAGTGCTTGGTACACGTCTTTTCTTTCTGGTAACAGGCTTGTCAGTCAGAACTGTTACTTTCATTCGCATTTGACAATGACTTGAGGTCTCCGAAACGTCATGTTACGTTGTTATTCGTTCTAGGGGCTAGGTCGCGGTATTTTTCGTCATTTTGCTTTTTTATTGCGTGCTTAAAACGACAAATTGTCAACGCAAAANTATGCTGTGTGTATGGAGGAGCTGACAAAATAATGCGCATTTTCCTGTTTTTAAGGCGTTCTAAGCGCTTTCAACTTCCCCAGTCTCTCCAAATCCTACATGCATAATCAGATATTGACCAAGAATTTTTTTGTATCTTCTTAGAAGAACAATTTTACGTAGATAAGCTGAAACCCCATTAAGTGTAACTCAAGTATTTGATACTAGATTTTAGAAATTGTGTAAGAAATTTTCCTTATTTTAAATAAGACGATTATCCATATTTACTCCCATACATCACAGCGTTACATGACGATACGAGGACTTTGTGCCATCATTGTCAAATGGTAAGAAAATTAACAAAGGTTGCGGGTGTACAAACTGAAAAAGGTGTAACAAAGTACATGTAAATTAAATGCAAGCGTGAAAACGGGAAAATTGCCAGGCGCTCTTCTATTTTCCCAGTCTTCCGCCTATCTTTCTTTGATCTCCCCTACCGCCGGTTTTCTACGCCAGTCACGGACGGAGTCTGCTTGAGTGCTTGGTACACGTCTTTTCTTTCTGGTAACAGGCTTGTCAGTCAGAACTGTTACTTTCATTCGCATTTGACAATGACTTGAGGTCTCCGAAACGTCATGTTACGTTGTTATTCGTTCTAGGGGCTAGGTCGCGGTATTTTTCGTCATTTTGCTTTTTTATTGCGTGCTTAAAACGACAAATTGTCAACGCAAAAGTCTTCACAACCTGTGAACAGTTCATTTTCAGATGGCCAAGTCGAGGTTTAGCAGCACTGAAGAACGGACAAAGCGAACGGACTGAGTGGGGAACTTTATTCGTCCGTTAAATGAGGGAAGCTTCCCTTATTTCTTATCGTTGGTACAACTCAACTCACGGCTTCCAAATGGCTCTAGAGGAGAATAGACAGTAAAGCGCAACAGAAATTCAAAGTGTCATTTTAATTTTAATTTTTTTGTTTTTGTTTTTGTTTTGTTTTTTCAAAAAATGGACGGATAGATAACAAAGATTACCCCTGAGCATTATACATCGCACAAATGGAGATAAATTGTGTTTGTTGCCTTTACCCGAATTTAATTCCTTTTAATATTCTGTAGCTTTGCTATCCGAGTTAGTGCCTTTTTTGCTTATCTTTATTTTGCCGTGGTATTTTGTATTTCCTTTTAGATTTTATTTTCTAATTCACATTATTTAGTTCGTCTGTTGAATGAAATGTCCTAAAATTGCGCGATCTTGCCCCTTTAACAACTCTTTTAGTTTGGACATTTAGCACAAGAAGTAGTCAATGAGAGAAAAGGCTTGTGTGCAAAAATAATTCCAACCACATGACAATAACAACATAACAGTTCCTGTTCCTTGATAGCGGATATGAGACCATTACATTCAGCCTCGAGAGTCAGTTGTGTGGCAGATTTATAACCGGTGAGCGCAAAACTGACTTGACCAATG